CCCGCCCCCGGCGTCAGGCGCGCGCCCTGCGGTCCCCGCCCCTCAGGGGCGCCTGAGGGAAGCGACCCCTTCCCACTCCAGAGGCTGCTGTGCCCGTCGGTCCGGCTGTGCCTGCAGCGGTTCCTCACGGATTCAGAGGGGGAAAACCTCGACAGAAGGAATGCGTGCTCATTGCTGAGGGGATGGGTGCAATTTAGCCAAACACTTGCGTGCGCTTCACGTCACCTTTTGTTCTGCAGAAAGAAAACACCAAGTAGGCGAAGAACCAGGCGTGAGCTCTGCAGTGCCGAGGGGAATGCAAGAGCTGCTTTCCTGAAGTTACATATCATCTGCTAGATTGCAAAAGACCTCTGAGATCATCGAGTCCAACCTGTGACCGAGAACCATCCCGCCACTAGACCGACACTGAGTGCCACGTCCAGTCTTTCCTTAAACACCTCCAGGGGTGGTGACTCCACCACCTCCTTGGGCATCCTATTCCAGCGTCTAATCACCCTTTCTGTGAAGAAATTCCTCCTACTGTCCGACCTAAATCTCCCCTGGCACAGCTTAAGACTATGTCTTAACGTTAATAATGCTCGATGTACATACACATTTACTGCACACACATTTATTGCATACATTTATACATCTATTTTTCTTCCAAGGTAGCTGGCGTCAAAATGCAGCTGATACAGGGACATGGACCCTTATAGCAAAAATGTCTATTGCTGCCAGTGTACAAGAACAAAGGGATATTAACTGTTAGGGACTGGCATTATTTGCATGCAATCTACTGCATTTCCAGGCAGAAAAGGTTAAAAAGAGAACTGCCAAGGTTTAGGAACTATCTGTAGTTCAGTGAAGCTTTAAATCAAGTTAATAGTCTCACAGCCCTTGGGGGATTTTCATAATTTCCATAATGTGCAGTGTGTTCTTCACTTCCCAACAGAAGCCAATCAGTTATGTAAGCAAATTGGCTGGACAATTATGCAAATGAAAAAATAAATTTAATCGATTCAACAGAAGAAAAGCATGCTGTTTGTTTCACCTGGAATTAATTTTAACTCGTTGAGGAATAAACTGGGAGAGGTCATCAGCAAGTGCCAGTACCAAATACCAGCTCCACTGCTTAGGGTACACATTTTCAAACAGAACACCCCATCCTACCCCAGCACAGGAAGTAATTCCTGCTTTTTAGCTAAGACTCAACATTTATTGTGCTGGTGGGAGTACTACTGTGACTTTATCTCGACATGACATTCCCTATCCATACCCAGGACACATCCCACTAGCTCAGCAAGAGCTGCACAGATTTCCAAACGGAAAGCTTGTTTTATACCAGAAAAAATTACTGTCTGAAAAAGTTTGTATTTAGACTTCTCGAGCCCTAACGGAGAACTTTAAACAGTCTAGCTTCTTAATTATAAGTTGCTACAAGTGGCAGATGGAACTGTTATGTCCTTGCTTCTTTGTTTCTGTTTTGGTCCTTGGTCTGTGGAAGGTCAAAAAATAGCATCAGTTTCTCCAATCCCCCCCCAAAAAAAAGTTATGTAGGAGTCAAGACTGAAAAATATAGAGCTGGATTTGCAAAAACAAAGCCTCCAATAAAACCACAAAGATGTAAGATGCATCTGGAGAATGCAAAAGGACAAGAAATGTGAATAATGGCTTTTACTGTGGCTAAATTTCACTAAGCTGAGGAGTATGACATCGAGACATTAGTAATTAAACTTCTACTACTATAGCAGAGACATTTAATTTTACTATTTCTCCTCAAGTGAAACTCTCACGAACATCAATTTGAATTCTTCAGTGAACTGAGCACTGTAACCCTGGCTGTAGCCTCCACTTCCAGTTAAAGCTGGAAGCTGGCCATCTCCACAGCTGGGAGTTTCAACCCAATTTAATCACAAGCATTTTCTACATTGTGTGCTCTGGTGTGGTGAAGAACTGCATAGTCTGACTGATTTCACACTTAACCTGCTCATGCCATGTATCATTCTCCAGTGGTTACAAGATACTAACCTCTCCATCTCTACTTTGCTGTTTGCCTATCTTGCTGCGTATCTAAGAGGGTTCATTACAGGAATCTGAAGAGAATTAAATTATTTAATGAAAGTACAGACTCAAATATTTTGAATGCTTTATATAAATATTACAAAACTTTTATTAACAACTTAACAACTCCTCCAAAATGCTCTCTCTCCCTCCCTCACTGCTCTTTATAAAACACCATGAAACGATCAAGGTCCTATTTCCAGCTTCTCACCTCCATCCCACATTTTGAAACTCTCAAAATTATCAATATTTTGAAGTAAAATTGTGGTAAGTCTTCCAAACCACATTATTCTGTTTTAGTTACAAGAAACTGTCCATACCCAACAAAAATAATCCTTCCAAGAGCATAGTGTGTAATCAGTGAAAACTGAAGAAAGACTTTCAGAGGGAATTTCTCACACATCTAACAACATACTGAAGGAGCACACCAAACTACTGAGCTACTGAGCACAGCACATGGAAGTTTTTATTTGCACATTTTTCTGTCTCTCTCTGCAAACAGGTAAGCATACATTTTATTTCCTATATGAAAAATTATACCAAATAAGGTGCTTAATGTGAAACAGAAGTTCTTTCAGCTTAACTTACACTGGGAAAAAGCAAAAGTGTGGCTATTGTCTACTGAGGGGCTGGCTCTGCAAAACTGCATTGCCTCTGTTGTACTCAACTTTATTCTTCAGGATATTTTTTCCATCTTTCCAGGCTTGTTTCCATTCCACAGTGGAGTTTTGTCCTGTTTGGCACATGGAATTTCTGTTACCAAAATACCGAGAATGTTACTCAAGAAACCTTTCTGGCCTTCTGATACAAATCAAAATGATGATATTTGCACTGTATTTCATGTGGACCCAGACAGAACAAAAATGTGAAATACAGGACTTAACAGCAAAGTTGGTCCAACTGCATACTGGTTTATCATGGTGATACAGGGAGAAACTCTATTGAAACAAACACCAGAAGCCTCGCTTGTAATAAAGCTTCTGAGCAAGGATGTGGGAAGCTTGCTTTGCTTGTTAATATAAAACATGACTGAGATTACATCCTATCAGCTGAAGATGATACTCAGGAGATGGAGCCAAAACATTGCAAAAATTTTACACGGTTCCAAGTTAAGCTTGAGGGTCAATGATTAACCTCTGTCTGAAAAATAAAGCAACATTTGGAGTTTTGTTCTGGGGAAGATCTAAGTGAAAATTCAAGGTTGCTTACAGAGGAAAAAATTCCGCTGTCTCTAGAACATCCCAAGTTTTGAAGCCATACAAATTACAAAGAGAATTTTGTCCTTCTATGTCTGTCAAACACACTATTGGCCACATTGGATACCTCTCACAGAAACATGGGATTTAGCTGAGGGTCAGATAGCCTCTGTCTAATTCCAATGAAGATTAAGACACAAAGGATCTTAGAAGAACTAATTACCAAAAATTTCTCTGTTTCTTACTACCCGTTTTAGTTTGTTGGAATCTTCTAAAATTGCTTTTTTCACTAATGCTGGAGTGGTTGCAAGAGCATCAGTTTAGATCCATCACCTGAAACCTGATTACTACTCACCCAGTCTTTCAGCTACTGAGAAGCAAAATCAGCAGAATCCAGTTGGATTTGATCAGGTGGATACCCTTATAAATGGCAGAACCATCTTCATGAATGTGAAGGGGCAGAACCCAGAGTTTGTTTGGACCAGTGCCAACTGTACACTGAGGTGAATGGCTCCTACAGAAATGCCATATAGCACCATTGGTAGTGGATTTACCATTTTTTACAAGGCAGGCAAGATGATCTCTACAAAAGAATGATACCCTGTGAGAAGACAACAGCCTCTATCCTAGCATTTTTCTGTACAGGTGGCACAGGAGCAAAGTAGTAATCTTGGTGGTCATCAGATTCAATCCCCTCTCTTCCAGCAGCAACATCCTAACAGACTGGATGAGAAAAAGTATTGAAAAAGGTAAGGACCTGGCCCTGAGGAGGTCAGGAATCCAACAACTGGTGATCAGATTCATGACATCAGATTAATGGCATAAAGCCCCAAGACTGGAGTGGCAACCTCCCCCAAAGAGAAAAACCCTGATACCAAAACCCTCCACACAACCATCCAGAACTAAGGTCATGATGGCTTTCATGATTTAGAGCTGCAAAGGACACCTGCAATAATGCTGCAGGAACTGGGAAGAGACTTATGCTACCCCAAAGCAGAGATATTTTTCAAACACTGAGGTCCTGTGCCATCATCTTAATCTCACTTATGATGGAACAACCTAAAAACTCATGAACTTTTATACCCAAAAGAGCTTAAGAACAAAAGGCTTTAAAATGGATGGAGAGCAGGGCCACAAGAGCTGTATTACTGGCAAGTTTGTGAAGGTTGCTGCCAGAGAACTAAACTAACAACACTACAAAAGTGGCAAGTACATTAAGTATCAATTTTGTATTGTATTGTATTGTTGCTGTATTGTTTCACCGTGAGAGATTTTTCTGGTATTAAATGTTTGGTTCTTCTTACTCAGGCTGTAGAGTTTGACTCAAGCAATTCATGCTTTGAATGTGATTCAGGATTTTCAGGTGGAAAAAAGCAGAAATCCTGAAGAACCAGGAATGGTGGAACAAGCTTGCTAGAAGTCTCCATCTCATCATGAAGTTGGCAGAAGCTAAAAGATGGGCAAACCCACCTCTCTCTAAGAGCACAATCAAGGGAGAAAGCAAGTTTTCCTTTGCAGTGGAAGTGCATATACAGAAATGTGAAACCATACACAAGCTATTACCTATATCAAATAAATATCTAATTAAATTATCAACTAAACCTTCAGCTGTGAGCAACATGTAGGCTCTCAGTTCTGTGAAGAAAGATATCCTAAGTCAGGCATGTCTCAAGCAATTGTGAAGTTATTTTATTCTCAGTGCTTTTTATTGGGCTTTTGGAGAAAAAAAATAAGATCTAAGGTGTGAACAGTGACCTCACAAGTTACTGTGAGGCAGACAACAGGAAACAGGTATTACTTCTACAGACTATGAATGAATGTGGAAAATGTCTCACTCAAGAACAGTAGATACACTCAACCAATGCACTTACCTACACTTGCACCTATGCTTATACTACACTTATAGAATTACCTGCTGGGAGAAACAAGCTAAGTGTTAATTCTTTGTAAGAATGGTGAACGTAGGTTCTGAGGCTGCAGCTTCTTCATTATCTGGTGATGCCACTGCCAAACATCTATACAGGTCAGTGTGACAGTTTATAAAAAAACCATTACTCTTTCTGTGCTACTATCTTCATTATCATCAATATAGTATTTAAAACCACAACTTGAGTTTGAAACCTTGCTGTAAATCAGTAAGGCACAATCCGAACAGAGTGGAAACTATTTAGTAACTACTGAAACAGCCAGACCTTCTCAGCCCATTTCATATTCTCTTGAAGCCATTTTAAAGCAGATGAATGCTCCAGGCTGTAAACTTCTTCCATATTAACGTTCATGGTCATATGCTTAAGAAAAAGCTTTGGATCAGATAAACGAACTGCCTGGATCAGCCTCTCCACTGCCTCATGATAGGCATTGTTATTCTGACCTGTATCTTCATATCTGTAAGGGAATTTAAAAGAATATAAAATTAGGTACCATACAGGCTCAGTGTCACCTAACACTTTATACCGGCAAGAATATTACAAAAACATTAAAATACTGCCTTGTATTTTTCACTAATAAATATGCTAATTTCTAGACAGATTATATTATTGTTATGAAGAATTAAAAAGTTATACAAAGTGTATTTTTAACATTTAATTGCATTGAAAAGTAATAGGCTTTAATGTCGGTGTAAAGCAGCTCTGCAATATTCACAGCACATTTCAGGAAAAATGTCTCTGGGCTGGAAAATTCAGTAAAGGAATGCAAACCATTTAATAAACTGGATATAGCAAAAATTCATGTACATGCTTGAATCCATAAGGTTTACTCAGTTTTGACATGTAAACACTTCTGGAACAAGGCTGTGCCTAAGTGACATGACTACTTTTTTTTGCAAGAGGAGAACTTCCTCTTTAAGAAAACAAACAGATATACAGTAGCATATACATGGAAACAAGAGATAAAAAAACTTCTCACTTATCTAAGGAACAAAATGAAGAGATGTATTCTTTGAGAAAGATAATGAAAACAAGATCTATTACTTACATGATGACATGAAATACAATCAAAATGGTATATATCTGACAAACTTACCTTTTCAGTATTATCTGAAGAGTCTGACTAGTATTCCTTGAACTTTGAATATCACTAGCATTTGAAACAAGAAATATTTCAATGGTCAACAGCATCTCAACTTCAGATAGGTATGATGGAATCTTCAGAACTTTGTGATAAAAATTTCCCTGCAGCTCTGGGTAGCAACCCAATGATAAAGCATCTGAGAGTAAATGCAGAAACACGAGGAATTAGAATTACCAATACTAAAGATAGATCTGTTTTCTTCTGTGTGATTAAATGTGGAAAAACCCCAACCCCAACCCCTTAATGGATTTTACTACTTCACCTATGAAATGGCCTGATTTGAGAACACAGCACACAGAATTCACACGTAAATTCACAGTTGTAAAATGGTTAAATTTTCTTTTTCAATGAGTTTCATCAGCTATGATTAAAAAGCTCTGTCAGAAGTCTGGGGACACCAAGTGTGTCATAAAGTGCAATTTAGGCAGGTCAGACAGGTGTAAACCATGGTCAAAGTGAGGGAACATTTGAACAGCATCTCCCGCTTTGTTCCCATGTCTTCTGCCAAGTGATCCCAGCAACCCAACATATACAGCATTTCTAAAAAATAATAAAAAAAAAACAAGAAAAAAAAAGATGAGGAAGAGCAGTCATTTCAATGTTAACAAAACCAAGTACCTATACCAGAAAGGATGGACACTTAAAGCAGTCTGCTAACCTCAAAAATTCTAAGGCAGAATCAAATAGTAAATAATGTGACAATATGGAGAGATTCTAAGCAGAGTGGCACACCCAGTATAATCTTAGCTCAGAAACAGGGAGTTATAAACAATTACAGACTATTAGCTTTTTGTTGAGAGGAATTTTCTTATAGTTAGGATAAACTAATTAGCCAGACTTCTCAAATCTTAAATATTAATAGTTTTACCACCACAGAGATGTTGGTACACTTCTAGACAGACTTGTCAGGAAACCTAATTTGCCTAGATGAAAAAGTGAACATGATGCACTTTTCAACCTTTTCAGGGCTCAGATATCTGAAATTCTGAAAGTGAATGTAAAGAATTAATTTCATCACAATTACATTGATGTCATGCCAGGTAGTATGCACTGATTCTTATTTTCAACTCACCATTTCCTGAAAAATATTTTGGTTACAAATAAATTCCTGAGAGTGACACAGAAAGTACTGTTTTTCTTTTTACTCATACTGAAATGTTATGAGCACATTATCCAAAGAATGGAAGGGGAGGATATTGTTTAAGAAGTAACTTACTTTTGTAATAGGACCTAGCTTTGGACCATAAAGAACTTCTTCCCAAAGCTGTGATTAATCCTCTAAGTAAAGCAAAATCAATAGCAATCTTTTTGGAAAGCATGAAGTCTACTGCAGAAGACGAGACCCCAAGGTTCTTGTTCTCAAAACAGGCATTTATCAGCTTGTTAAAAAGGCTGCTGTATTGAGAAGCATTTACAATATCTGAAATGAAATCAAGAATATTAACTAGTCAATTAATTCAAACGTAAATCTAGTTGAAGGATCATTTCTCAATCAGTAGCTAAATCAGAACTCTTGCCTCTGTCAGCAAGATGGAACAAGTCTGGGATAATATTAATACTTTATTCATCAAAAGTCTTTTCATATAGTAGTTCATTCATATTGTGAAGTAATTGTTCAAGTAATAATTTGCTGCCAAAACCAATATAATCAGATAAAAATACATTCACTTGCTCAAGTCTATAAATACAATCTTCACCTGATCTCTCAGAGTTTCCATTTCCAGCAATAAAAATCCCCTTGGTTTTCTGCTCCTACTCTTACTCTGAACTGTCTCCTTACTGGCAGGACTGAGCAGCCTTTTTGTATTCACCTCATAACTCAAATAAGTAGATCCTTTCAGTACTCTCTAAAGTAGATGGACTTCCAACCAATCTCTCCTAACATATCTAAAAGCATACAGTGCTAGTAGACTGAGACTTACACTCAGGAATCAGTGGAGCCTAAGTAACTAGGTATCTCATTCTGAAGAGAATACTCATTCAAAATTTGTCAGATAAATTGAGACTGAAAGAGCACTCGGTTCTTAACATGGTATGTAAGCAATGTTAGGTTAGCTCAGTTGAAGAAAAAAACAAACCACCTCATTAATTTGAAATTAAGATTAAATGAAATTAAAATATCCCTATTTTATCTCACTGTATAGACTGTGTATGATCCTTAAAAACTGTTGCCCTGTGTAACTGAGCAAAAGAGGACGGGTGTATGTGCACATCCAATGTGCATGCACAAGTGCAGCAAGAGCTGCAGAGCACAACACGTTTTAACTGACATTATACTCTTTGGAAATCAGAAACAGGCTTGTATAAAACCATCTTACCTGTTCAACCAAGTTTAGCTAGAAAACACTACTGTTATACCACAGAATCATCTGTTATATTTTTAGCTCTTAACACAGTATCTTTATCTTTACTTACCAGAATGTTTCTGCAAACCTGGTAAGTTCTGCAGAACTTCAAATGCCTGCCTGTACAAACTCTTCCTCAAGTATTTATGCACTATTGCACATAATAGATTATGTCGATTGAGGATGTCCATTTTATTACAGGGCCACAACGGTGCATCTGTGATCCACTCTGACTCTGTGGCAAACAACAGTTCAGTGTTATATCTAGGAAATGGAACTTCTGTATGTTGAGACTTTGGGCCATTAAAATTTACTGTAAACTGTACCATGACACAAACTTCAGAATTGGACAGAAAGTGAAGCTCAACTAATTGATAATTCATTCCTTATAACCAATACTCCCTTAGACTGATTCTCTGAACCTTTATATTGTAAATCACCCCTTTTGTGAAATATAACCACAGTAAAACAGACTATCAATGGCACATATAGATATGCATTATGTATAGATATATAACTGAACAAATTTACATCCTCAATATCACTTTACGTCATACATTCTATTCTTTATACTTCTGAATTTCTTCTCTTTTCAGCAGAATTCCAAAAAGCCATATGTAATACTTGCAGAAGTATGGTACTGTTTTAAAGCAATTATATTAAATGTGGATACTGTGAGGGGCAAAGGAACACTGCACTGACCCTAGCCAGAAACATGACACTGACTGTCCCCTGGTTCAAAGGAAAACTACAAGGGATAGCGTCATTTTCCAAGCTGCACTCCTCCCTCATTATGGCAGATTTTCGAGTAGAATGGTGTTGACAGCAGAATACTGTGAAAAACTTCTGAAAAATGAGGCATTGATTGTTGTATTTCTTATACATATCAAGAGGAATACTAACCAGTAAGATGGATCACATTTTCTTTGCTGCCCCAGTATTATTAATGGTATTTGGTAATACAGATCAGCTTGAACTTTTATCTGAAATTTGTCATAGAACTGTATTGTTCAAATTTAAGTCAAAATTAAGGTAATTAGCAATGTAGTAATGTAATTAGTAATGCAAGACAGGCTTACCTCTCAATACCCTTGTTGCTCCATCCAAATTTCCAGAATGAAGAAAGATTTCTGCAGCTTTATTAACAATCTGACATCTCGATGCTGACTTCCCTGCACCTACAAGTCCTTTCAAGAGTGTAAAATCTATCTGTAGCTCGTGCAGTTTATCCAAAACCTTCCTTCCCTAGTGTAAGAGGGAAAAAGGAAAGGGGAAGGGTCAGAGAAAGCAACAATATCAGTGAACACAGTGTGTATTTATATAAAATAGAACAGATTTAGTTTAGTCACACAGGTTCATAGGCATCAATGCAGTTATCCAAACTGAATCAGGGGTGAAGTACAGTAAAATGTCTAATAAGGAGTTTAGGTTTTTTTTACTATGTAGGCAAAAAAACTCTATCAACCTACTGTCAAAGTGCTCCCAATACCCTATTACCTATAACATTGTTTCTATTTTATAATGTTCAATTTAGTATTTTTAATATACTTTGTAATTAATTTATTATTTACTTATTTTATTAATATTTTTGTGATTCCATTCAGCACTACACAATCTACAAAATTCTAAAAGATTATACAGAGAGTTTTCATTTTGCAACAGAGACATAATTCTTAAACTGAAATAATTACTCCAGCTTAACTTAAAGAAAACACTGATGTTTGTATGCAGCAGGACAATAAACTGGAAGAAGTTGAGCCTATCTGGCCAACACTGCAACAACCAACAATTCCATCAGATTCCAGACTGATATTTAGACTGGTTTTCTACAGAAACTTCATACTGAAAACTTTTTGGCTGTCCCTTGCAATCAAAAATGGAAGAAAAGTAGCAGTCTCAAAGATAATTAAACTCTGAATCTAGAAGAGAGGATGATCGAGTCAAGGTGAGATACCAAAATCATGTCCCCCAGCAAGGCAGGGCCAGGCAGAATTCAGTACTTGTCCCACCTAGCTGCACCTTGCTAGTCAAGCAACAAAGACAAAACTTCAAACCAGATGTGTTTCAGCTCTTGCTTGCTTGAGTGCATTCAATGATGAAGTGGCTTATTAAAAACTGTGGTCATGTGTAAGCATGCATTGTGGTGGTGGAACAAGGCCCATGGAGGCAGAACGAAAGAGGTTTAGGAGAACAGAGAAGCTGAAAGAAAGTCACTTATTAAGAAGCTCATTTTTTAACAAAACGCTTTATGCATATTTACAGATACACTGTGGACTGGTATGTGCTCAGAATTGGACACTTTTGAAGGCCGATAGGCATCTGCAATCTTTTATTTCAGCATAACCCATAAAATATGCTAACATTAACTGCACTTAACATTTAAGCTGTAAAGAACCCATTAAACTGTAGATTTAGGTGGCTGAAGGGGAAAATTACAAACCAGAAAAACTCAGGTGAAACTTGAAATCTAAGTGCAAACCAGAAATGAAATACAAAATTAAGGAGGATCTCCATCTATTCCACACTTCTGGCAAAAGAAGGGCCCACTAGGTAGTGGTCTTTATAGGAAGACGAAAAGTATGCAGCTGTAAGTAGAAAAATGATCCTTAAAGGAAGGGCACTCAATTAAAATGCAGTTGTGGAATAAGATCCTTAATTGGACTAGAACCTCTGTGACCAGTTCTCTGAAATATTAAAAAGCTGAGTGTAAAATAAACCATAGCAATGCCTTTCAAGAAAAGGATGAAACAGCTGCCAAAGGAGCACTGATGTTACAGAATTCTCTGCAAGTAAATATCCAGAAAGCAGTCTAGTGTTGCTTGAAGAGCTGTCTCCATGCAAGACATACTCATGTTGCATGTTTTTCTGAAGTACATCTGTTTTATGAACTTTTCTTACCTCTTACAAACAATATTCTCTTAAGGACGAAGAAGCATACATATTTTGCCCTCAAGAGCCACCAAAGCTCTGCAATAAAGGAGTTTGATGTTCTTCAAGGAAAAATTATATGAAAAGCACATTTCAAGTTTCAGGTAGTCAGACATACTCGTAAAACCTCACAGGGCATGTCCTAAAGCCAAAATTGATTTGGGCAGAGAGGAAGAGCAAATCCATTACTACTTATTTTCAGGACTACTTTTTGGGCAAAAAAGACATGGTATCAAGTAGATACCACAGGATTAGGGATTTATCTGATACATGTAACGGGGTGAAACTGGTAGAGAGAGGTAAGAATGACAGCTTCCTGAAGCAGAGATAAATTTGGGATCTGCCAGTTCTGATAAAAATAATTCAGAGCAGAACCTCATCCACACTCTGATATGGTCAACACAGGTTGTCTACAAAGCTGTTTGAGGATCCTGGTCAATACTCTCTTGAGAAGCAGGTTTGATATCTAACACACTCTCAAAGAAACAAAGATATTTCTCTCTAGACATGAAAGAAATCATAGCATTTTAAGAAGCATCTACTTTTAGTAGCTCATGTTGTACAAGAATAACACTACATATGCTTTTCACACCTTGCACCTCCGAAATTAGGACATGAAAGATGAATCTGCTTGAAATACCACGTGTTGTGCAATCCAAGATCAGGCTCTCCCTTAAGATGGATCTGGAAAACAGCTAAAATGCGTGAAGGCACAAACATTGTATTCTGAAGAAGACAGCCAAAACCCAAGCCAAACTAAACCCTTCAGTGGGCATGTGAGCACTACCACTCCTCAACGCCATGAATTTAGATTCTCTCTTCTGTGGTCAGAAGTATCTTAACTGTTCTAACTGCAAAGTTCTGTGGAATAAAAATGCCTGAAAAGTTCTAGTGCAATATTGCTCAAGTGCTAGTGGAAAGACCCTTTCTCCTTCCCTTTACTCTTCAGCAGCACCACATTGTGCTGCAGCTTGAGAGGGACCTGCTGAAGGTCACTGCCATTCAACTCAAGAAGCCGATGTTACAAAACTAATGAATCATGAGAACAGGTATCCTGCCTCTGATGCCTTAAGATCAGACTAAGCACCTCTATCAAGTATCTCCTGGGACTTGGCTTGACCCTAGAAACAGACTGAACAGTACACAGGATTTTTACATAACAGAATTCCTGAAGGTCATCCCCTAGAGACAATCGTACAAAAGACAACTTAAGTCCTCAAAGTGAACCAGAAAGGGTTCCGTGATGGTAATTTGCAAAAAAAGCCAAACCAAAACCTCAGGAGACAAAAGAGAGTATTTGCTTCTGTTCATAAAAGCGCATGCTCAAAATCATCTTGAATGGGATGAGGAACATCCACATACACCATAATTATTAGCTGAAAGGATCAGGCCCAAGTTCAGAATGTGATCACTGACCAAAACACACTCCAAAATCACTAGCGGTTTATATTACTTTGTATGCTATCACTTTTTATATTGCTTTCTATAAGAAATCTGGTTTGGTATGCATTGGTTCCTTCCAGGATATAAAAGACAAATTTAACACTGAAATGGATCTTCCTGCTGTGAAATTATGACTAATACTGCCTGAGGCCTAAGTAAAACATCCAGTCAAAAATGTAGTCTCTTAGCCCTGGCCCTGTGTAATATTTGATAGCAAAAGTATGACTGGAAAGGTATTTCTTTGTGATGTCTGAGTTTTGCAAGATTCACAGAACTTAGATTCAGTGGAATAAGAGCATTTCCAGCAGCGTTCTGGGGAACAGGCAGTTCACCAAGTGCAGCCTTGCTACGCTGCTTTTCTGTCTTTCTGGTCTTACTCCATTTGAGGTCAGATGCAGAAACACCAGTGCAGCAAATTGCCCAAACTTCTCTAAATATCACTTGAGTTGCAAGGTCTCAGAATGCAGCATGATTGCCAGTAGGTGTGACTAATTGATGTTTCTGCGAAACAATCCCATCAGCACCTCACCCCAGAATCTCAGGAAGACCTGTCTCTTAGTTCAGATTCAACCTCAGCTCAGAAAAATCACAAGATGAAAATGAGCAATCAGTTTCAAGGTTGCAAGACCAAGTTATGATGGGCTCCACAGAAGACTACTGCTCAGAAAGGCACAATAAAATGCTTTGGTCCAGCTGGACAGTTAGGAAGTACTAAGATGTGCAGAGAGGCAGGTAGCACACCAGTCATTCCATTAGAGAAACACAGTTTAATATCCAGAAGAGAAATTACTAATACTTTTTTTCCTCTAGTCAGGTTCCTGTAGCTCTGCATACCTTTATCCACTGCAGTACTTTGTGATACGAATACATTACGCTTATCCCAGTCCTTCCAATGAAAAGCCTGTCTGCTTTATTATGGTGTGAATTTTTCACTACTGGAAAGAAAAAGAAAAAGGTTTTTAAGTTTGTTTTTTTTTTATTTTACATGTAAATGCAGATTTAAAGAAATTACACATTTCAAAAACACAATAATTGTGAAAATACTAAATACATTTTCTAAAATATTTGCCAATGAAAGTAGCAACTTCCTAAGTCTTGACACCAGAAGTAGGGTAAATAACTGTAGTTTATTCAGACAATATTTCATAGCAGTCTAAGTGCTCTCAAAGCATGGTAAGAGGACAACAATCCATTCAGCTGTGGGAAGAAAATATTTTTTGCACAATTCCAAAATAAAAATAAGTAAAATACTTTAAAATATAGTGTTTGCTTTATATTGATCTCATATTTGTGATTCTTCTTTTTGTGTATGGTTTATAGTGAATTTAATATATTGGTGTAATAGCACATATATACAACATCTAAATAAATAAACTGTGGGTGACTGCTCAAAAACTTTTTACTAGTGGAGGTGCCTATCAGCTGGGAGACCACCACTCCAGGGAGGATGGACAAGGTTCCAAGCTCTGACAAAATCTCCTCCCGGTGTCACAACTGGAAGCTCTAACAGCTTTTTTATAATATAAAAGTCTGCAGTCAGAAAGGATATGTCACATATCTGGAATAAATATGCATTATGTTTTAGTAGATAACACAGGTTGAAAAATATCTAAGTAATCCTTTATAAAATGATTTAATATCCCACTGATATTTTACCAAGCCTCGGTAATCTGCAAACTTATTAGGGAGAATGATACAGATATGCAAATGAAAGGGCATAGGAAAGAAAGAGGCAAGAAAACCTGCCAGAACTATTAAAACATTAGGTTCTGGAGCACCACCAGCCCTTGCAGAAACCATTGGTTCTTTAGAGGAAAAAATAATTCTAAAAATCCAACTTACTTAAAAAAAAGGTACATATTATATATATGATATAACCTGTACAATGTATTTTAAAATACACAACTATAAATGTATTTACAGCACTAAAGCTTATTTATGCTATTAAAAGTGTGACACTTCACATGACGATACTTAAATACATTTGCCATTGTCCTGAGCATAGGTCATTTTTATCAAAAGATCATGAATTCTGGGTTCTCTTTTTGATTTCACAAAACACTACTGTTCCTCCTTCAGAATCTTCCTTGACTTTAAGCGTAAGCAACTGTGCATTTTACTACTACTGGATAAGAACTTTTACTGAACATTACAGTTGATTGTATTTGCACTCCAAAAAATTCAGAATATTGTAACACAAAATTAACTAACAATTAGAAAACTATATTTATTTTTTATCTCTTTTAAAAACTCCACAAAGAACACTTCTTGCATCTTAATTTTACCTGTATCAGCAAAATCACAAAAAGGGACTCCTGGTCTGTCTGTCTCAGAATCTTTGGCTAGAATTTCAGCAATAGATACAAACAATTTCTGAAGATCATCAAAATGTTCACATCCAGTTCTTGCATTAAGATACAAAGCTCCTAGCTTGGTCCAGTCCCTTTTTTCCTTGCAATGCTGTAAAGGCGGCAAAGGATAAATATAAGCAAACTTGCTTCCAGACACCCAAACAGAAAATATACTGAAATTTGAGATATGTACTTGTGATAGACTTAAAGGAGAAAAAAAAATGGAAATTAAATGCTACTGCCAAGAACCTTCATGTTCATATGGCAGTTATGTGTTGGCAAACTTGCATGGACTGCTAATTACTTCTACCCCTCAATAAATTAAATTCCTTTTTTTTATGTCATCACCCCAATCAAGAAATCTCAGAACTTACTAATCCTATTTAGGAACTGTCATTTATTAGGGTTTTTTTTTCCATGACGCATGCTGAATTTATGGTTATCTTCTATATGAATTAGTCTTTTGCTTGCCAGATCACTTGATGACTTTGGTGTTAAAGGAGTAAAAAAATCAGTAGTGCTTTTTCTCTTTTTATAGTTCAATCTCTGAATCTGCACAGGATGTGTGATAATATGTAAACTATATAATATTTATGCATAATGAGTAATCTGACCTTGAATATGAAAGACACAAATGTCCAAATAAAGAATGTTTTACAATATTTTCTTATTCTTTAAAATACCTCTTAATGTTGTCAATTGCAGCTTTTGCAATTGTGTGTTTTTATATTAGATATGAATTCTATCTGCTAAATAATGTATTAAATAAATTCTTGGTGAGGAATGATGTACCACTACCAATCACAAGCACAACAAATGTAAAGCAGAGGAAATAACTGGTTAAAGTTACAAAATCTTTGAATTTATGCAAAACTACAAGTATGTAAATTAAAATACTGACATGACAGAATGGCCAAAGACAGTTTTCTCCTGCATTTAAGCCTTACCAGACATGTTTTTGCAAAAAAGTATTTTATCAAAAGCTCACTATACTTAATAATAAAGCTCACTAATTAAAAAATATCTAGAAACTGCTATTTCATGCAGGTTTAAAAGAAATAATGAAGAATGCACATACTGTACCTGAATTTCAGCTACAGCCAAGTTGAAGTCAAAAATCCATGTCTTTTCAAAATATCTTTCCTCAAATCTTCCATATGAAAAAAATGAATACTTAAATTTTAACACATCCTACTGAACTAGCAAAAGGTGAACAACCAATTATCACATATGAACATTAAACTGATGTGATTTTTGATGCTATTTGCATCATATTTGCTATTCACATTACTCAAACTGCACACTGAAAACACTCATTTAAAATCTTGCCAAGGGAAGTTAGCACATGTATTAAATAATTGAGCAGAGATATTTTCACAGATGCTGTGTATTTGTTTTCCACTAAGAATCAATGGTATATTTATGAATCACAAATTTAGTTTCTCAACATGTGTGTGTGTGTGTGTATGATGCAGGTGATACAAAAATGAAAAAGCATCACAATCTTGTTCAAGAGATGGGGAAGTATCAGCAGTTTTTGAACAGATTTGACATTCTGCCCAGCAAATCCCAGCAGTACTCAAAAAATGACCCACTCCTCCCTAGCAGTATTGGTACAAACATTTATGTAGTCACACTGTAAAGAAACCTAGAAAACTACTTCAGATTATAACTAATCCTAGAAGGATGTTTATTTGCAGAAGTACTGTTTGCTTATGTGGGCCTAAATGATATATTAAACCATGATGTTTCTAATTTGGCTAGCTATAAAAACTTCTGTCTAAGTTGACAGTAGATTGTACAATGTACAGATGATTGATATGGAAAAAAATAGTAATTGTGGTTAGAATCCAAGTTTTAATTTAACAATGTTTGATCTTTGAAACACGGTAGATTGACAGAACTTTAAAATAAAATTAGGCATGGTATGATAGTATTTTCATCCAACACATCTTTTAAATATTCCACATAAATATGTAAAAATAGATGCTGAAGAAGGAACTAGGCATCTGTAGTTAGAAAATAGCTCCTTAAGGACATACCTGGATTTTATGTTCAAAACAGTAGTCATTTCCCAACTGGAAACTTGCAATTGCTGAAGTAACTTAATAATGTAGTCAAAGTGTTCCAACTCAAGGAACATACCAGCACCAATGAGCTGCAATATCAAAGGTACGAAAAGTGAGCACACAAAAAGTTGTGATGACTTAACACATCTTCAGAGGAAAGTGGCAAACAACACATCACAGTGAGTATCAGTCAAAAATGAAGGAATAAATGAAAACACATACAACAAATTCAGATTTTAGTATTATTATTTACATAATATCAGTATTATTATTAAATAATTTTAGTATCATTATTTAGTATTATTTAAAACCTTTAGTATTATTTCAGTACTGTTTTTAAATTGATATGTTAGAGTTTTAAAACAGGCAGTGTTTTTCAGGAATTCCAACAAACACCAGTAGTACAAAAACGAAACATACCTTACAAAAGATATTGATTAACGTAGGCACAGCATTTCTTATATTCAAAGAAGCCACATGCTCAAAAACTTTCAGAAGAACATCTACAGCTGGCTAATATAGACAAAAAAACCACAATCAGTTTTGCAACTCAGTTCAATTAGAAAGGTAAGAGATTTTATAATAGGGTATTCCAAATAACTCCCCTCACCCAAGATTTGCGTACCAGAGTGAAAACAAGCCTAGTACTATAAATGGCATAGTATTCAAAAAACTAAAACTATGAAACTAAGATTTAAAAAATAGTATAAAGTCACCTACCAGTATCTTGATTTGTACAATTACATTCAATATTTGGAATACTTCCTGCAACAAACAGTTGTTGAGCAATGAAACAAGAAGATCATTCAGCACTTCAGAAGCAAAATCCATACCAGGAGTAACTTCTTTGTAATACTGCACAAATATTTGAACTGAAAAAGCAATTAAACTGAGTATCACTTTGGGGTTAAATGATGACACCTATTTAAACAAGTTATTTCCTTATATTTTAGACAAAATGTAACAATGCTTAATTGTCCAAGATATTATGGGCAAGGGATATGGAGAAATATGGATGAAAGGATCCAGTCTGAATAAAGTGTTAACCTTACCAGAACCAGACTGACTGTTCTGAAATATATTGTATCATTGAGCTGGGCACTGTAAGCCCTGTAGGTTCCCAGAAAGTTTAGCTGATTTGGTGCAGCACAAGAAGAATGCACAAACCCATGTTAGATTTGGTACATGCATCAAGGTATTAAGGCCTTTCCGAACAGGAAGCTCTAGGAAGGACTGTGTTAACAGTGGATAGTCTTACAACTTGTTCCAGTGCCACCCTTCCTTGATAAACTGGCCATGTACTGTGGCCAGCGTTACCCACATTAAAACTCACGTGTTCAGCACGGGAACATTGCAGCATATGGTGCAACTGAATTCCCCATTCTCATTCTGCTACACTAAGAAACTTTCAAAAACTTAAAGACTGCTCAGGACCAGTATAAAAGTAATCACTGTCCAGATGATTAAAAATTTAAAAACAAAACAAAAGCCCTTTCTGACTGAACTCAAAAGGTCAGATGGATCTGAATGCAGTCCCTAAAGTGTATTAATCATAATTGTTTGCATATACGGTGTAAGGACTAAACTAAAGGTGTTGGGAGTGGGTGCAGTAGCAACACTTAATTTCAAGAGCTTCCATTCTCAAGTTTTTGGGTTCTTGATGTTTGGCCAGGGTGCTGAAAAGCATCTTAATAAAATTTGGGTTCTGTTAAACCTCCAACCTGCCCTATTTACATATTTCTACTCCCAAGTCTAGTTACAGTCAGGTTAAGTTCATTTTATGTGGAAGTACGATTTCTAAGAACCTCCTGGGTAAGTGTCAATCTAAATTTCTAGCCTCATTGGGAAACTGAACCAAGAAAACCCAGGGACTGAATGTATTCCTTCATTTGAAGTAGAACTTTGTATTCACTGTTGAAGTGGCAACCATTTCTCTCTTGACAGCCTATTTAATTTGCTTTAAATAAGCTAAGTAACAAAGATTCATCAACAGCAACTACTATACCATACCTGCACGTCTTAGGAGACCTGATTCTTTGATACTAATGTATGTCCTAAGAATTGCCATACAAATCTGTAAAAACAGAAAGAAATTGCAGTAAAATGTAACTTCTGTTTATGCCAAACAATAAAATTACTCACAAACATGAGTTCTATTACATAATGAGCTTTACACAGCTTCCATGTAAGCCATACATACTGATAAATTATATAAGAAGGTAATGGGGTCTGTAGGCAAAGGCTCTGTCAAAAGGCCAGCAAATCAAACAGAAAAATAATGCAGACAAAATGTTTGGGAAAGAGGCTGCTAGGACCACAAATGTTTGCATGTGTGTGTATATACTCATAGCACACAAACAAAAACAAACAAACAAGATAATTTGAAAATGCAGTTACTTCAGAATTAGTATAAATGTGGCAGACTGTAAACATAGAAAGGGAAGTAAAAATGTGAAAGTGAAATGTAGGAAGCAAAAATTACATGAATGTGCCAACTAAGAAGGAAAAAAATCATCCAGAAATGAAGCTGGTAACACCTATTGTCACAAAGAATAATTTAAAAGGATACAGAACAAAAAATTCAGAACTAACTTGACTTAAAGAGACATTTCACCACAGACTGAATTGACTAAAAAAAAAAAAAAGAAATCCACACCTACATATTTTAATGCTATTTAGTATTGGAATATTCTTGTCTTAACATCTTAAGCTTTCAGCTTTGTGATACACATTTTGCTCCATCTCTCCAGATGATGAAATAAAGACTACCGATATTATATCTTAGAATTTTAAGTTAGAGAAAGCCCTCATCCCCTTTCAGAAATTCTCTGTCCCTTCTGGAAATTTACAATCTTTCTGCACAACAATGTAAATTGGTCATATGCAGTAAGATTTTCTGACATAGTTAAACATCAAAAGACAGAAAATGCCCTAAAATAGTAGCCATGGTATTAAAGAACTGAATCAGGTTTATTTTCACATGCAACTTCAAAATGACACAGGATTCACTCATGAAGTTTGTTATACAGGAAATGAATTATTATCAAAGCAGAAGATACTGGTTTATGGCCAAGACATCGTCCTTATTTTAAAACCATTAACCTGTTTAGATCATCAAGCCAAAGAATACAAAAATTGTACATGTAAGTATAAATAAAGCTTATTGTTTTTATTTGGAAGCAGTATCTCAAAAAATCTCAACAAAAAATGTTGACCTATACTCTAAGATATGCCTTTCAAAAAATCGTGTCAAAGTTTGGATTAATATACGTGAAGTGTCACTTCAGGACAGGTTAACTCACTTAATCCAAATCTATATTCCCAGGTGGCTGAGGGCATTTCCAGAATAAACTTTAGCACATGCTTACAGTATGGAAATTAGTTTGCTTTGTTTTGGAATCTGTTTTTCTCCGTCTTTGGCCTGACTCCCAAAAAAAGCCAAGATTGCATCTGGGGCTCTGACTGTTCCAAGTATTAGTGAAATTGCTTGGACAATCATTTGTAGTATTATTTAATCATGGGACATGCTGTGTGACATTAATAAAAGAAACTAAATGTGTTATTCATTTACACCTTCTAGAAAGCTGCAGTTGATTTAGTTGTTCCAACTTTGAAAGGTGTAACTGCACCCACAGACTATGTAAAAATGTGAGAATCTTCAAATTTTGAGTTAGCTGTAATAGATTTTGAATGAAGGTACATGAAAGAGATTATTCCTATTTTCGAAGGGCAGTATCAACCACACTATTCTAACATCTATCAGTTGATTCCATGACTCATTTAACATGACAATTTAATAAAAAAATGTAATAAAGGCCTCTGGATCTTATACAACCAACCAACACTCCAGTGAAAACATGGTCCTACTACAATAACACAGAGGTGCTTATTCAGAAGAATAAGCACCAGGAATTCACTAAATACTTCAGCATCTCCCAGTCAGTGCCCACTCTATTGCTTAATAAGGGAGAAACTCCCATACTGCAGCCTTTATCTCGGGGAGATCAAAACCAGGATCCTTCTTACAGGAAGTTTCTGTACACCATGGAAGCTTTGAGATGCACAATCTCTATTCAATGTGGCTGAAACTGACCAAAAGGTTCAAAGGTCATTTAGTGATGGTTAGAGGCAGTAATAAAAAGACAGTGTAGAATCTCATTTCTTTAGAAAGCCACATTAAAAAAAACAAAACCAAAATCCACCATGACAAAAGCATACATCCAAGGCCTTGAAGTTGTAAGACAACACTAATGAAGGCAGAAATCCTCCTGTTTTATATCCTTTTTGTTTCTAGTTAAGAAGTTCATAGGATCAAGGAAAAGGAGAGTAAAAAGTACACAGAAAGTAAAAATTTATTTAATGGATAGGAGTAAGAAAACATTAATGAATAAGGTTCACAAAGCTAAAATAAAATCACAAAGAGAAATACAGCTTGCATAACAACATGTTTTGAAACCACTTATTTAACCATAAAATGATTGCCTGTGCTACACTCTGAAGTGTCATTTGAGCAAAACAATTCACTGTAATTAGCTCACTGTCACTTTCCCTGAGGACCACCGAGACAAGTCCAGCGTCACCTCCTTTACCCTCTTCTCCATCACATATTGTTAATGCATGCAATGCATATTGTTAATGTCCACCCTCCCTTTAAATACTTTGGCAAGTATCTGAAACAGTCCTTTGTTCACTTTACCTAGTACAAAACAGATTTCACTGTTTGAAAACAAGAGGCATCTTTTAAAAAAAACCCCAAAAAACTGGTAACTGGTACAACCTGCTGAGCTCAAGTGTATGCTGATTTTCAAAACATATGATGTTTTTATGAATTCAAGCACTACTGTGTTGTGTGATCAACTACAACTTAAAGTGTTAAATACTAGGAAGTTATGCCTTAAAACATCAACCAGTTACTTAATGATAAAGAAAAAATATCATTATGGGGAAAGGTATCTCTCTTCAAAAACTCTGGTAACTATTATGACTGAGAACATAGCTCTAAGCAAGTGCACTATCAGTCTGCATAACAGCTCTCCTGAAGAGATTTATTCCTCCTGTATAAGATTAGACACCTTTATCACTTCTTTACCTGTTTTTAATTTATGTACTTTGGTGCCACCATGAGGTGCTTGACCCATTATAATTTTTAAATGGACAAGACTAAAAACATAAATGCATACAAAAACAAAACTGAGATATACTTTCAGACTATCAAGAAAATTTGGCTAGGTTTGGTGGGTAGAACAGTTAAAGTGTGCTGGAGTGCTGCACCACAAGTAAAATCAAGTGGAATGGATTTTTTAATAGTTTTAGGCAAATAATTCTTTAATGCGCCTAATATAATGAAGCACTACAAACCACAATAATTCAGATAACTAGCTGAAAATTACAAATATTCACTACAGACTGTTAAAGATACATCACACTTGAGAAGAAAGGAAAAATGTTCCATACGAAACTATTCTCAAATTATCTTAGTATTTTTAAGATGTATAAATTTTCAAAGGGGTTAGAAAGCATTAAAAAAAATAAAGCAGCTTTTTTTATATATAAAGGAAAAGAGAAAACATGAAAAATAAAACCAAATTACACTGATGGATTTTTAAAATTATGATGCAATATATTTAAGATATCAGGAAGATGGACAAGTTCCTTTAGATGTTAACTTTTTTTAGCAATTATGTCTAACAGGTTAACTGCAAGTTATTTTTTACATTTTAATTCTGAATTTTTTTTGCTTACTGACATCAATGATAGAATTGCACTCATACCAGTAAGATGGTAGGTAAGAAATAAATCTTGTAAGACCTGATGAGGGCAAGTTTAGGCATTTGTTATTGGTTACTTGCCTTGATGCTTTTGTTTGTTTCCAGTTAACTTACAAAACTTTCATACAGCTGATTTCAAAATCTTATTACATGTCAGTGCAATTAGCCTGCCTTGCACAGTTCTTGGAAGCATTAAACTCATAATGACTCTGTTAAATGGTTTGAAAACATATTTACTTTGCCGATCATTGGAAAATCATTCTTGCTTGCAAATACTATGAGAATTGTTGCTCCATTTAAGGAGATTAAGGAATCTTACAACAAACATGCCCATTGTTGCACAAAACATGCAGAAGGTAATATACCACAGATGTCTTTTGGTTTTAACAATACATATAAAGTCTTTGCAAAGTTTTGGTTAAAGTCTCTGATGTTCAGGATAGAAATGTCTCAGAATCTGCCCACTCTGCTACTCTGTATTTGTACAGCCTAATTGTTGATGTGTGTTCTCTTAAAGCATCTACTAGTTCAAAATCACACCATATTTAAAAAAAACTTTGAAAGACTTTGAGAGAAAGAATTTCTGAACAATTTTTTCATCCATCAATCTCTGATTATTCACTTCCCATATATAAATGAACAAAGGAGATGATGATTTGGTTTTAGAAAGTTCACACTTACAATCTTTTCCTTACTTCAATAAATCAATTTACCTTTTCATCCCCTTGTACTGGAACATGAGAGAACCAACACTTTGTTCTTTCACAGCCACGTGAAGTCATGAAATAGTATCTGCAGTATTTACGGGGCAAGTTAAGTGCATCAAGGATCTGCTGGACTGAATGAGAAGCCTGGAATAAAATAAAATTACAACAAGCAGAAAAAGCCAAATAATATTTCTTGAAAGTAAACATGGTATTTGCTTTTTTAGAATTTCACAGTATCTACAAACCATAAACAAAAGTGATCTATAATTAAGCCTCTGAAACAACCCTCATCTCTATACTGTACTTGAAGCATTTCAAAGGACACAAAGACCAATCCCTTCTCATGTCACATTAGTGTTTAAAACAACAAAAGCCTGTCTTGAAGACCACAAACAGGGATAATGCAAGAACTGCTAAATGAGATGGACAATGAGTAGAGAGGAGGGAGAAAGGTGAAAAGTTCCTGCACAGCTCTGAATAACGACCTGAGAACTCTGGGGTATCAGTTTCCTTGACCCTTTATCAGTGCCCAGAATCATGGATAAAGCAGGCTGTCCTAAACATGTGAAATTTTGTCTGTTTTTTAGTTCTACAAACCCCAACAAACAAAAAACGTGATTTGATTTCACTTAGGCTGAAAACAGAAATCAAGAAAACTTCACTGTGAATAGCAGTCCCTTCATTGTTGATTTTGTTCTCAAAAATTATACTTAGTGATAACATCTTTAAAGGTGTAGAAACACAAGCGTACAGATTCAGTTTCTGACTTGATACATGGGAAACTTCTGGAGTATCTATAATGAATGGAGTATCTATAATTTTGTGCCAAATGATCAGAAATCAAGGATTCAAAAACTCACAACTGCGCTTTTCTCCATCTTCCATGGCTCAAAAACTCCACAATCCTTCAATGGCACTAAAGTACTTCTTCCTGAAGATTTGTAACCTAAAAATTGGGATGAGGGTAGCAAATCACATAATGAAAACGAGTCATACTGAAACCACTCTCATTTATCTTATTTTCCTTTATATTTATAGTTCCTTCAGCAATGATTAAGGAAAATTTGATTAATGCAGTCTAAAGCCAGTAATTTAAATTACAGTTTTCTTAATTATCCTAAAAGTGAGACCTTACACAAACTTCAAGAGTAAGCACATTTAAATTAAAATCTTCACTACTTTATCCAAGGTTCCTGCTCTAACTTACAGAGATAAGAAAAGGAATAAAAATATCTGTAAGTTTTAATTTCAAAAACTATTCACTTTATCAGTAATCTCTGCATTCCAACATCACTAGCCCTAAATTTAAGCTATTTTCTCAGAACTGACAGAAAACTTTTTATACTCTTATGTTTTAAGCAGTGCAAGTAGCAAGTTTAAGCCCAGGGTTACTGGTGTCTTAACCATGAAACTTGGTTTTAGAACTTCATTACTGAATGACAGTTTTCTTTCTTGGAAAAATGAATAATGATAACTAAAGATAAAAGTTCAAATTTTCAACTCCATATCTAAAGACAAATGAGAGCTTTTGAATGAAAGCATTCTAGGATTCCCATCTGGCCCCTTCAAAGAACTGAGTGTTCAAAAGACAGGGTGCTTAGCCCTTTCTGGCAAACTATAGTTACTAAAGAGCATCCAGTAATGAATGTTCTACTGGAGACTGGCACTAGGTACATAGCTCTTAATCTCCATGTCTTCCTAACAGACAGGACCACCACAGGATAGGAAGGAAGAGCATAATGTACAACAGTGAGTATTTAATATTATGTATTGTCATATTGCAAAAACTTGTGAAGTGATAGTGGACCACTCAATAAATTCAGGATTGGATGCATTTAGTGACAAGAAAAAGACTGACGAAACAGCCAACTGCTAGCTACAGAAAAATGCCACTGGGAATTTGATCTTTCCTCCAGATTCTTCCCATCCCCAAGCATAGAGTTTCTGACCAGGTCCTTTCAAGAGTTTGTACTCTCCCTTGTTGACTGTAGGTCAGACTTGTAGGGAAGCAGGCACTAAAGTGAAATAGCCAATCCTGCCAGCACAGTTCTGGGAATAAAAGCTGTTTTGCCCTGTGCTAGCACAGTTGCTTTGGCAACTTTCTAATGACTTTAAGAAGAAAGACTTAAAAGTACTCTTCAGAAGTCTATGTATATGCTTTGAAGGCCAAAGACATGAACAGTTTCAAACAATTGCAGTCTGAAGACATATTCAAAATTGATTTTTGCAGCATGTATTTCTTGCACTACCTGCAAATATTGTTTTATGATTTTAAAAATGTTCTACAAGCTCACACTGACAGTATAATTTGAAACTAAATGAGAACACTTGTCACTGGTCTTAATTCAAGAAATCCACGTTTATAAATGTCCACATTAATCAATAATTCTAAAAATATTGATTTCCAAAGCACCTGTTGCAAAGAAACAGCACAGTATCTATCCACAAGTAATCAATCCCTGTTTTCCCTATCTTGTATGCCAAATAGACCATGCATTTATGCAAGGCTAATGTCAGATTTGTTATGTGCAAATATACTGCAGTTCCATTGTGATTTCTCTGGTAGCACAGACACTGTAGAGGTATCTGTCCCACGTGTGAAGTGTACTGGGTCAACATGAAGTGCTACTTATTAAACCTATATAATTATTTGATGCAGTCAAAACCATTTGAACTGGCATAAACATAAAGTTCTGACCTTCACCAAGGTGGGCAAACCATTCTGGCAAGTTTTATTAAGAACCATCAACCAACCAAATCTGCAGGCACATTCTCTGGCCACAAATAAAGGAAAACATTTCCTTTATTTACTTGCTAATAACATGTCTCAAACACAGTATGTCAAGCTACTAAGAATGCAGGCACTGCTGTACCATTAAAGCATCTGAGAGGCACAAATATCAGATAGAATTATTTCTATTTGACCCTACTGAATAGAATTCTGGTAAAACCCCAACCCCAAACCTCTCACTAACCTACCAGATGAGAGCTTGCAGTTTTGTTTTCAGATATGAAAAGTAAAATTCCAGGCAATATCTTCAGGAACTGATGATAGTTCTTAAGATTTCATAGGCAAATAAAGCACCAAAGAAACCCAAACAACCAAACAAACACAAAAAAACAACCCAAAAAATTCCGAAGGGTTCACCAACACAGCATACAATACCATTTGCCCAAGATTTCATCTCTGAAGCTTCACTGAAGAGATTTGCTTCTTGGTCATTCAATGGCAATTCTGATAGCAATTCACTGTTCACTTTGCATTTACAGTCACTGTTGAGTATTAAAATACAAAAATTTGTTAAAATTAGTTTCTTTAACCCAATTAAACAGGGGTTTCTTTCATGTACTGCATACCTAAAAAGAGGAATTAAGTGTATAAAAGATGAGAATTTCTTCAACACTTTACACAACACTTCAAAACTTGCTATAAATTTAAATAGCCAGCAGTCCCAACAATTTCACTTTCATTACTCTCATTTGCCTGGTCCAATGTGATTATGATTTTAGCTGAGATTACTCTGCCCTAACATATAACCATATGAAATTCAGTAAGAAAAAAAAGCACCTGTGAACCATTTCTTCCCTCCCACCCCCATGCTGACAAGAAGACTGAGATGACTTCTGTTACCTCTGAAGAAGAATCTACTTTATGTTAGTTTATTATGTAATATCTGCCAAAGGAGTAAACCTCAAGGCTTTTCAAATTACATCTGAAGATGTTTTCTTTCCTAAAAACTGACTACTGGACAGAAGATTTAGGAGATTTCAAAAGGATCTCCAATTAAAGACTGTTCTGCTTTTATTCCCAAATATATATATTCCAGAAAATTAAACTACTAAAACATGGTGCTTTCAAAAATAAGCTAAAAATATTGCTAGCAAAACACTTGATAATCTCTTTGGTATTTGTAAACAAAGCCACAGGAAAAACATTATCCCCTTTCATGAGATCTTGGTCCCCTTCCCCCTTTCAGTTAAGAATCCTGGTTCAGTACAAAGGACATTTTAACTTGCTTGCTCCTCTACATACAGAAGCAGAGTTGCTACCTCCTATAAGGGATTCAAGATATTGAATACTTCTCATAGCCAGGATAATTCAAATAGTTCCTAAACTTCAGGATGTTTCAATACAATTTGAAATAAAAATGCTACACTAGAGAGGAAAAAATTCCATCTAACAAACCCAAATTTTTCAAGATCAATCTTTATTCTCATCAATGCATTTGGGTTGATTTCCAGAGGGCACAAAAGATCTGCAATTTTAGTTACTCAGAAATGTCAAATTACCACATAAAATCTTCTTATGCTTTCTCATGATGCCAGCCTCAGTTCTGACACAACAGGCTTTTCAAAACAGTTTTCCTAGCAACTTTGTTTTCTTCCAGACAAAACTTCGTAATGGCAACATTTTTCAGTAAAACTAGAGAAAATAGTTCAACTCCAAATGGAGGCCTCTTCTCTAACCACAGAGTACTGCATTGCACAAACATATTTTATTCAGTACAATCTACTTATTCAATAATATAAAGAATTATTTATGCTACTAAGGCAAACTTAAATGGGTATTTTATAGCAGAAGGAGGAGCTTGGAGCTCTCTAGTGGATTAACAAAAAGATGCAGTATTCTCTACTAACAGAATTCTGGCACACTGAAGTCTGTCACAGAAATGTGAGCAGTGCTGGAAAAAAAGCAGTACTCTCTGCTATGCCAGTTAAGGTTTCTTGGTTATTTTGAGATTACTGCGTCCTAGTTCCATTCAGGACAGAGTTAATTTCTGAAGTAGCTAATTGGTGATTACTGCTCCTAAACCATAACATTTTGAAATATGTTTTCTCTTCTAATTACTTAAGAATTCCACCTTAACTGTACCTTTCCTACAAAAACTAATTCTCCGTCATTTCTGGACTGCTGATGAATGAAAATTTCTCAGTTTGACACTAATTCAGGCTTGGACAACCACCCACCATATGAAGTTCATCAAGGGAAAGTGACAGATTCTGCACCCGAGATTGGGCAACCCTGGAAGTACAGACAGACTGGGAAATGAGAGGCTGGAGAGCAGCACCGTGGAAAGGGACCTGAGGGTCCTCCTTGATGTCAAGTTGAACATGAGTCAGCAGTGCCCTGGCAGCCACAAGGGACAAGCATCTCCTGGGGGCATTGCCAGCTGGCCAAGGGACAGGACTGTCCCACTCTGCTCTGCACTGACCTGGCCTCACCTTAAATATTTTGTGCAGTTTTGGGTGCCACAACGTAAGAAAGGCATTAAACTATTAGAGGGTGTCCAGAGGAGGGAAATTAAAATGGTGAAGGGCCTTGAGGGGAAGCCTGGTGAGGAGTGCCTGAGGTCACTTGGTCTGTTCAGTCTGGAGATGAGACTGAGGGGAGACCTCACTGCAGTATGAAACTTCCTTGTGAGGGGAAGAGGAGGGACAGGCACTGATCTCTTCTTTCTGGTGACAGGACCTGAGGGAATGGCCTGAAGATGTCAGGGGAGGCTTACATTGAGTATTAGAAAAAGGTTCTTCACCCAGAGGGTGGTCAGGCACTGGAACAGGCTCTCAAGGGAAGGGGTCACAGTACCAAGCCTCACAGAGCTCAAGAAGCATCTGGACAGTGCTCTCAGGCACATGGTGCTACTCTTGGGAATAGCGCTGTGGAGGGCCAGGAGTAGGACTTGATGATCCTTATGGATCCTTTCCAACTCAGCTTACTCAGTGATTCTGTAAATCAGACTAAGAAATTATGTGTACAATAAACAGTGCAAACACAGCTTGAAGCTAGAAGAATAGTAAAGTATGTCCTTAACTGCATGTGACATGTTTTTAAGCACCTTTTTCTACTGCTTCACAAATATTTGTCAGCCTGAATTTGAATGAGATCTTTCAATTCTTTCATAAGTAGAAAAGAAAAATGAAAGCTTCATGATTTATTTATTACAATCTTTTGGTTTTGTTAAGTTCTGGTAAGTGCTGTTGTGGTAAGAAATGCATCTTATGCTACACTCACATTGAGATGCAAAAGTGAGACACTGTTACGAAGTTAATATATCTTGCCACCAGTCAAAAGACAAAATAAGCCCTATTGTCCTGTCAGGCTATGACTATACTTGTTCAGTACTTTGTAGAGTGAAATCATATTATTTCACATATTTATGTTCTTCATCACATAGTTACAGTAACATGGAAAATTGAATACTGGTGGTGTTCAGGTAACAGCATCATGTTTTATTTATATAGTAACTGGGGAACACCACAGGTTACATGAAGGACACACTATATGTACCTTTTTTCAGCTTCAGTCTTGTTTTCGTCTTCAGCATCAGGCACCCCATCTGCAAGCTTGAACTGTAATGATATTTAGAAATTATTTTCAGGTACAGCAAAACACTACTAAGCCTGTTATGCTTTACTCTACAGACTTAAAACTATTAGTGGTCATTGCAAGGTATTAAGTAAGTCTTAACTGTAGAAACTAATTCAGTGTGCAGGATTACTCTTACAACATCTTTTTTAATGGACATACTGCCTTTATACCCTGTGTTCTTTAAAACAGTGATTTTTAATTGGGAAAAAAGGTCATGTGACTGTCTTCACTTCTCTTTGATCCCATGATAATCTCAGCAATTTTTAGGCCCACTGCCTAATTTTAACTGTGCCTGACAGATGTGTGGAATACCACAAAAGTAATTCCATCAAGTTTACTGAAATTTAAAACTGCACTGAGGAGGAATTTAGGCTTTTTGCTCAGCTCTACACAATCGTGAACAGTTAAAAAATCCCCAATGATATGACAAAAAAAGACAGCACAAAACATATTTGTAGGTGAGAATCTGAAAAGACTAATACAGAATGAAGTCACACAATCCTGGCTTTGTTTCATCCATTATATATGAAGTAACTTAGGACTTCATATTTCCTCACAAACTTATTATAGCCAAAGAATTAGAGATGCATATCCTTGCAGCAGATTTCCAAACTTTATTTTACCACTTCCTGCATACTTGTAGCATTTTCTCCATGGTTATTTTTTGCCCTTCTCACAGGATTATTAATTGGAAAAACCATCATAAAAGCAAAATGTGAAAAATCTCCCTGAACCGTAGAGTACCTGCAGTAATTCCCCCAGCAGGAGTGCACTGCTGCTCTCTGTTCACATACAGAACAGGTTTATGTAGGGCTTAGTATGCATTTTGTGGTTTTGAGTTTGGGTTGGGTGAGATTATTTATAAGTATTTTCTGCTGTCCAACACAGCACAGAAAAGCAAACACTAGGACACTGATTTTATAAAGCCACAAGGCTATGAAACAACCCAGCTGGGACTGACCTGGTAATATTGCAACAAGTACTCCACCTTCAGCAAACCTTACAATTTGACCTTTTTATCTCTCCAAAAGATCAGGAAATAAAATGGCACTGTTAACTCTGTGAATTGCATGTTAGCCCAAATTTCATTTGCTGAAAATGTTTCTCTTCTTTTAAACAATTTTGAAAGGGAAACTGATTCTCTGTTGTTTGATTAACTTCTCAATTACTTAGCAATTTTTAACCATGTGAATTTTACAGTTTAACTTATCCAGTTAAAACCATTAGCCACTCCTGAAGTGGTGGAAAACAGTAAGTGCTATCAGCAACTATGTATGAGTGGTAGAGAGATATAAATTCCAATTCATTACCAAAGAAGCAAACAGTATAAAACTTCAGCAAATCTTAAAAGACCTAGACTTACTGTCTAGAGGAGTGAAGACAGAGAAAGATCAGATAAAGTCAGTGAGCATGAAAATCATTCCCTCTGAACAGCTAGAAATTTGTATTTTAAAGGCCCTTTTTGCCTAACTAACGAAGACTAGAATGATTCTTCTTTGGTACATGATGGCTGTGCAGCTCCCCAGCTTTCCAACACTGCCCCATCCTTCTGATACTGAGAGGCATTTAACAGCAACATTTAAAATTAAGTATGTTATGTGAAAATGTCATAGATTACCTTTATAGTCATACTATAAGCAGTACTCATAGGTGACTGGAACAGTAATTTTCATACCATTGGGAATACAGCATTACTGCAACAACTGATATAACAATATCCTGTTTCACTTCAAATTTGAAGCTTAAATGTTGGTGACAATTAAAATAGAATCAAGTTCTGTTAAGTAAAGATTATATTGCCAATACACAGTAATCTAGGAAATGCTAACACTCTCTTCATTGTATGAAATTTTAAATTTTGTTGATAAAACAGCATTAGTAACTAAAATTATCCAATTATGTGGATTGTAATTGCCCAAACCATTTAAGGAGAGAAAGCATAATTTCTCAGTACCTTTTCATCCATGTCCAAACTTGTCAAAAGTTCATCTAGTTTGCTCTGTTGCCTATCTTTAAGAAAGTCCTCAGTCACATCTCCTGAAGGACTGCTTCCTCTGGAAGAATTGTGGGTGTTCACGTCTTCAGCTGAAAATGTACAAACATTAATGTGGAAAACCAGTACAAGAGGTACTGTCACAGACACCTTTCAAGTCTGAAGCAAAATCAACATGTAACATCAGAATATCAGATTAACAACAAGTTGACAAACAGATACCAGAAGGGAAACACTATCAAGCCATAGAAAATCAAACAAATCACATTTATGTGCTGCCTAGGTGGACTGTTCTGCTTTAAATAGGAAGAAAAACCCCACTAAATAAGAAGTAAACTTGTTCCATTAAAAAAGGGCATCCTTAAAAAACAGCACAGTGTATCTGGAATCCACAAAAAACCCCAAAAGGACAACCTGGAAATAAACCTGATTACAAAATTTTGTGTGCTGATGAACACAACAGAACAACCACCTCTAACTCTGACCTAAACTCCAAAGCAGTATCACAGGACTCAGCATCTTACTATGATCTCAGAAACTAAAAGAACTCTTTGCCTAAAACTATCAGAAATATCAAAAAAACACAGAATCAAAACCAAACAAAAACCCCCCACTCCAACCCACCAGTACTACCAACAGACTACAGAGAAGTGTATGTTCCCTGTATGATTCAGGCTTGTGTTGTTTTGAAAGTTATTGACTCAATATGCATTAGGAAAGAAATTGGTGTTACAATAGAAAGATAATACAAAACCAGACAAGTTCCTTTTTTTTTTTTTTTTTTTTTTGTGGAAAGCAGAAAGCTTTGGTTTTGACACCAAACATCTTTTAGGTCTCTTTCTTCTTTTGATTATATACCAAAACATTTCCAGATACCCTTACCTTTTAACACCAAATTACAAGAATTTTCAGTATCACTTGACATTCCAGATTCTTGCATGCATCTGTTTTGAACAAAAGGTATATTTAAGATTTCCATCTTGCACAAAAGCAAAAATAATCCATCAGTTACATAAAATAAAAAATTCTCCATAATACTTTTAGCTGTGGACAGAATCCTTACATCCAACACACTATTTTAAGACTCTTTTTAACCTTCTCTTTTGGCTTTCTCATGTCCATCCCTTCAGGTATACACCTCAACATATTAAGTCAAACCAAGACATTTCAAACCCAAAATTTTCAGTAAAAGCTCATTATCTCATTTAATCTTTGCCTAAAATACCAGGAAGGGAAATTTTCTCTGTAGAGCAAAACAAGAAAATACTGTACTAATGAGCCAATTCATCAGTTTCTAAAAAATGTGATTTATAGTAATTTTATATTCAAGATCATTTGCATAAAAATGAATCTCAGAGAGAGTAACAAAAACAACTGTTCATAGGAAGAATACACCTATTCCAAAGATAAGCTGGGGAAAAATAATTCTTAGAAAAGCTCAGGAGGGACAAATATATATTTAAATCTTACGATCTAAATACGTGATGTATTTAAATCATCACAATCATCACAGATTTTAGAAGCTTGTACCTGGTGAGTGACACCAAGTGTAATGACAGCAAGCTGTCTAGTCAAGGCAACAGAAAATGGCAAACAAAAGCATATGTGAAAAATTAATTTTACTGCCCCATTCAGACTTCAGTCCAGAATGTTTTCCTGATGGCTGGAAGTAACCAGCACTCCTCTTTATGTAAAATGCATGCACCAGAGAAATAAACTGTTGAAGTCCCAGTTGTATTTGGTAAAACTCAGCAAAATAAAACAAATTAGTATGAACTGGCCATGATCTGGTATTATCTGGTGATACCACCCAATAAAACAGTGGTAAGGTCTATTGTCTTATTTCAATATTCTCATATGCAGTTCATTAATATGTTCCTGACTGCCACCAACTATGGTTAATCACCAGCTAATAATCTTTGCATCAAATTATGGAAGGTAAAAAGCAAAATAAGAAATTTTGCCTTTTTCTTTAGCAAATTAAGAGGAAATTCTAAGAAAGAAGAACCATGCATTTTTATTTTCCTTGGATAATGGCAAACAAATTCAACAGGTATCAGAAAGAAATTAATACTCCCTCTAATAAATATACTATGCTACAGCCTAGCTGCTTCTCAAGAAGTTGGACACTCCTACAGACTTCCCCTGTTCTCTAGAGGCTTGTTTTGGCAGAAATTTTATTCTATTAACGTCTGAAAGTTTATTATTCTCATGTTCAAAAACGTGTTCAGCACCTCAAAGAAGATTCCCTTCCTGTTTTCCACATGGGTTTAATGAAAAGGAAAGGATAAGGAGAGAAGTGAGTAAATAAAAAAAAAAAGAATGCAGTTTTAAGGTAGTACAATCCTGAAAATAATTGAATTGTGACTTAAAATACAGGTAACATAAAGCCACCTAGAAAGACTACACAAAGAAAATTAAAACACCCATCCCAATAAAAAAACGAGTCTTCAGAGGAAAATCCTGCAATATTTCTATCTAAACCTTGTTTTTGTAAAATGAAAAATTCTATCTTAAAACTTTTTCACTGATCACAAGTATCAAAGCTTAAGAGAGAAGACAGACTAAACAGTAGATGAGTCAATCCATTCCATGAAGAACTATCTCATTTACAAAAGTTAGTTTCTACTTTGAATTTCTTTTTCTCCTCCTGTGACTTTCATTATCATCTCAAAACCCAGTAAAACATTAACACCTAATGATTTACACCAGGAATTTGCTGAATGAAGATGCAGGATCATAAACCTCTACAACACCTTAGCCCAATCGCGTATCTGAAAAATATTCACATCTGGGGATAGAAGAAAAAGAGGGAAGAAGAATGGCAGAATGGAATACTACGGTAGTGACAACCATTCTCCTCTTAAAGATTCAAGATAAGAATAAGCTACATCTAAAAACTAAAAACACTTCTAAGTATTATACCATTTTACAACTAAGAAAATTGCCATCAAATGGATATCTGTTATCTTCAATCAGGTCAGATTAAGAATATTATTTTTAATTATCTTTCTTTCTATTTCCATATTTTACTTCATTTAAACAAGCCCTTTTTGTCTACAATTATCCTACAATTCAGAGTTTATTCCAGCTCTTATGAAGAAGTTATCTGCATTCAGAATACTGTCATAGCTCAATCAAACTTAAAACACACAAAATCAAAAAAAGAAATAATTTCAACAGAAATTAGTAAAAGTCTCTAAAGAAGCCTGATCACTAAAACCAAAGTATACAGCTATGAGATAAAAGTACTTAGAAATATTGTGATAAAAAAAGAATGATATGCATACCTAAAACTACTCTCTACTGAATACATCTTTTCTGAGGCAATGGGAGACTCAGGCTTAATATATTCCTTTGCGTCTTTAATGCCGTTTGCAGGGGACGCTTTCACTGGACAATTTTCACAGCGTGCAGGTGCAAGCGCCTCTTCATTACTGGTTCCAAAAAGGTCAGGGTCATCCTGAATCACATCAATGACAAGAACATCTTGGTTGTAAGCTTCAAGGATATCTGGTAAATTTTGATTTTTGTGTTGTGAAAAATTCCGTCTTGATTTTCTATCATCATTTATTTCTAACCCAACAAGGTGGTCGACTGCATTCAAAGAATGATCAGGAAAACTAGATTTCAGCACACATTCAGTACCATAGAAATCAGGTACAGATGGCTCTGGCTGTCCATCAAGAAGAGGATGTGGATACGCAGAAAAACTTTCAGAGAGCACGGACATCTCATCAGAGAGATTCACAGCGCCATTCTGCTGGAAGTCCTTACTGTCGATCTCATCTGCTTTTTTCTGTATGAAAGGTGGAGATGCAGCATCACTCACCACAGGAAGAGGACCCTGCTCAGATTTTACCAAGAAAGTCCCTTCACCTGTCTTCTGCCTTTCTGGACTAGTGCTTTCAAGAAGCTCTAGTGGACTACAAGTTTTGCTTTCAAATGAATGGACAGATTCCAGTTTCTTGGATTTAGGTTTCTTTCTGCATAAAGGAATTTTGAATTTTGTCAGGTTTCCAGATGTTAATGGTTTAATTAGGTTTAAATCAGATAATTTCTGGTTCACTACTGATACTTTAGGGCTGAAGTTTATACTGTTTGTGTTACTTGTAGAAGTACCATTCTGGACTGTCCCAGACAGGTTTCTGTTTGTCACCTCTGCTTCATTTTTACCCTTTTGTTTTGTTGTGTCATTCTGGACTGTTACAGACAGGTTTCTATTTGTCACAAGTTCTTCATCTTTATCTTGTTTTATTCTACCATTCTGGATTGTCACAGACAGGTTTCCATTTGTCACAACTCCTTCATCTTTATCTTGTTGTATTGTACCACTCTGGAGTGTCACAGTCAGGTTTCTATTTGTCAGATCGCCTTCATTTTTATCCTTTTGTTTTATTTTACCATTCTGGGCTGCAACAGACAGATTTCTATTTGTCACATTGCCTTCATTTTTATCCTTTTGTTTTACTGTAGCATTCTGGACTGTCACAGACAGGCTTCTTTCTGTTACATCTCCTTCATCTTGGATCAATCTTTTTATGTGTAATTTCTTTTGTAATTTCTGCCAGTGATGCATGCAAATCCAGCTGTCTCACATTCCCAATCATTGCACCATCTCCTACAGCTTTAACACTGCTTTTATCAGAGGAATCCTCAAAAGCAGCCTTTAAAAGTCTTTTTTCTTCTGACCTATGATTTTTAAGAAACCATTCAGAAGTCCTGGCACAAGATTCAACAGGCCAAACTTTTTTACCAGTCATGGGTATTGTTCTTTGACAGGTAAACTGCTGCAATTTCTTATTAACTTCGTTCAAATTTCCTCCTGCCTTGCTTTTGTGACAATCAGAAACATCATGGATCTGAGCTAATACTCTCAGGCTATCTGAGGCAGCTGCATAATCTGCCATACTGCTTGAATTTTCTCCTTTTACTATTGCAGAGAGCACAGATGTCTTCTTAAAGCCAGTTTCAAGTGCAAGTAATTTGCTACTGCTCTTTCTCCAGGCTGATACAGTTTGAAGTTCATGAGTATTTTTTTCTGTATCAAAATCTGATGTATGATCGCATGAAGCTGAGAGAGTATGATTTAGTCCTGAAACTGCAAATGAATTTGACATGGCAACTGCTGCTTCTGTTTGTAACTCACACTTCTTGGATTTACCAGCCACATCTGCAGACTTCTCTGTGATTTTCATCTTTTTTCTATGCTTTCTACCAATATTACAGTTTTTCCCCCTTAAACACTTACTGTTTTCATTCATGCAGCATGAAACACAGCCTTCTTCATTTTCATTCTTTTCTTTATTAGATGATAAACCACCTTTTATGAGTGATCTCTCATTTTGCATTCTACTAGTGTTGCAAATTCTATCATTCAGGTCTCCAGTACCATGGGCTACATGGAAGAATCCATTCAATTTATAACTGTTGGTAGTTCCAATAGCTGAAGGCTTCACTAATGTATTGATATAACTACAGTCCTCTAATCTGACAAATGGATTCTTTTCGGTTGCACAGAGCAAGCCACTGCAATGGTGTAGGGCATTACTGCCATGTTCAGCATCACATTTTGCAGATGTACTCAACACCTGTTCAGCTGCAGTCCCACTTAAACTTTGCAAGTGCTTCATTTGACCAGATCTGTGTTGCCTTTTTCTACACTGAGCACCGGGCTCTTCTGTTACAGGATGGCATAGAAAGCTCTTGCTTTCAGTGTCACCTGAAGTAGAAACTGTGGAAGTTCCAGAATAGTGAGATTCCTTTTCCTTAGAATCTTCCACCCTGTTTTGCTTTGGCTTTGTCTTAACCTTCTTCACAGCCTGTGAAGTACCAGAGTCTTGCTCAGTTGCTTTTAATTGTTCCTCTGCTGATTAAAAAAAACCAAAGGAATGTCATTAAAGAAAACTCTTAAAGAAAAAGACAAGCCTATAAAGAGAACAAAAACCCCCAAACATTCAAGTCTGCTGAAGAACATGACACTGCATAAGGCTAAAATATTTATGGGAAGTTTTATGATTTTTTTTTTTTAAAATAAACACTATTGGGACACTTAAAAGTAGAAAAGGATGTATTGTCTACAGAAACAGATGTGAAGAGGAACAGAACCTTATGGTGTCATAAGGACATTGGAAGTTGTGTATTTGTTGTATATTCCACATCGGTGGAAAACAGATTAGGGCAAATCTGGCAAGAAAATGAAGATGCTGCCTGCACGTCCAGCCTTAAAATTTTGTGTTTACACAGCAGATTCTCTGTAGGACGAACACTTATTTATAAGAATATCTTTCAGAAAAACAGTCCAACCAAATGCATCAGACTGACCAAGAAGATCCAGAAAAATTGAAGGACTTGCATTTTTAGAGACTACTACTTTTTATCCGAAAGCAAATACTGATAACGTAAAAAACTGTGTATCTGAAAATTTAGACATGAGAATGGACTCAAGAGCATACTAGGATAATGCTGGGGTTTTTTAGACCTTTGTTTCCAAGGTAAAACACAATGTCAATACTTCAATTTTTCAAAATATGGTTTTTACATAAAATATTAATAATCTATAGTATTTGTAATTTGAATGTATCCACTTAAAAAGTAAAAAGAATGTTTTTAGACAATCATCCTGAAATAAAGACTTTTAAGACTCCTCTTTCAGAATTGTTCCAGTTTGACTCAACATTCTCTTAAAACATCAAAACACAATAATTTTGCTTCTACATCTTTGGGGATTTTGTAGGAAACAGCAACTAAAAAGTTCTGAGAGCAAATCCCAGCATCCTACAAAGGCAGACACAGAAACAAGACAGCACCATATATAATCAAAAATAGACAGACAATAGACAGATGAATGAAGAACTGACTGTCTCTTATTCTGGCACTGCTGCCCCCTTTCTTGCTTGTGGCTGACCACCTCTGCAGAAATGAAGAATGCTTTTGAGGGAAACTCCAAGCACTTCCTACCAGAGGCTTGACTGCTTCTGTCCATACCCCTCCCTCCCTCTCTTTACCCCCTCAAATGACTAACTGGTCTCCTCCCCCTGGTGTTAAATAGACTGCTTTTCTCCTTCAAAAAAAGCCTTTACTCTTTCTGACAATCTGTCTCCTTCTAAGACTGGTGGTACTCATAGTATGGGAAGCACAAAGCACACCCTAGCTTTTCTCAAACTAAATCAGCAGCCAGTTTTTAAAGGGGTCTTACTGCAGGACCAATTTGGGAGCCCAAATTCTACACCTGTACATCTACACTGGAGCTCTACCAGTGCTTACCACTTTCCCCTGGGCTGTCTGGTCCTTTCTGATGGCTTGAGCTCCGCTGCTCTTCTTTCCTGCAACGCTTCTTTCTCCTGGCTATTGGTTGTTCTTGTCCACTCAGATCCTGCAGCTTCTGTGACAGCAATGCATTTCTGTTCCTAATACTCAGACCTCCTTTCCTGGACTCTGGACATGGTGTATGCTGTTCCAGCAAGGCAGAACTATTCCTCTCTCTGGGACCATGTACTTTTGGTTTCACCACTGATTTGCTTTCCTTGCCCAAGCATCTCCTTCCTTTTTCCTGTGTCCCTAGTGTTCTTGATCCAACTAATGGACACCCATTCAACTTCTCTGCTGTATCAACCTCTTCCTGAGGTTTTGGTTCAGGCATCGCTTCCTGAGTGCCCAAATTCTTCCAAAAATCTGGGATCTGCATATTCTGTGATATTATGGAGTCAGTGCATTTCACTTCAGTACTCTGTGTGACCTTTTTGGATTGAAGACCTGGCTCTGGAAAACCATGTCTCTCTGTGCTCTCAATTTCCTCCTTTAAGGATGGGACTTGTAATTTTATTTCCACACAGGAATGTTTATGTTCTCTTCCTGAGCTCTTTGAACCCTTGTGGAAACCTGAGTAGCTCAGTTCTTCTGAGCAATGTTCATTCCTTTCAATTCCTGCTAGGAATTTATTCTGCAAAGCAGTCCCTGAGAAAAATAACTGTTGGTTTTGACCTGTCCCTCTTAGGGTCTCTTGCCAGCACATTTCTGCAGCCGTGGCTGCTGCTTGCCAATCTTCACACTCAGCTGTGTCTGAAACTGAAGCTATACCCTTCTTTCTTCTAGACTTCCTGTGCTGGATTCCCTTGTTTTTTTTACCTGGGAATTTCTGTCTGTTTTCCCCTTGCTCCTTCTGCACGGGCAAAGGAAGAGCAAAACACTTAAAGGAAGGGCCAGAGAGCCTGTCACGTTGTGGAAGGGAAGGAAAGGGCTGCTCAGGCTTCCTCTTCGGTGCCAGGCGAGGAACCTGCTTGACTAACAGCTTTTCCCCTGGCTCACACCCTGCCCCCGAAGAGCCGGAGCTGCTGACCTCCGAGTCAACCTGCTTCACTTCGCTGGCTGTCACCACTTTCCCTGACCTCAACTGCGGCATCTCGGTCCCAGAGCCCACAAAACCCACTGGCCAGCGCACCTTTCGCTGCACCCTCGCTAGCTCGGCACCCACGATGGGTGCAGGCCCGACCTAGAGCGGGGAACAATTCCTCCCAGGCTGCCGCCTCAGGGGACACGCGGGGGAGTCCAGACCGACACAAAGGAAACCCAGGCCGCCCTGAGAAAAACCACGGCCAGCGACAAAGCCCTACCTGACACCGACACCCTCACTCCCGCCCCCGCACACACACCCGGAGCAACCTGCACAGAGCAGGGCGGGGAAGGAAGTAGCCCCGCACCTCTCCAGATTCAAGAAGGCCGCTGCCTGCAGCCTCCCGCTCCACTTTCCCACCCTCTCTCTCTCTCTCTCCTTCACTCCCTGGCCTCGTCTACCGATCCGTCCCTCGACGCCTCGTCCAAAGCGCGGAGCCGCCGCCGCGCCGGCGGGCAATGGTGGAGTGGCGGCGTGAGGNGGCGAGGCGGGGCCCGGCGGGAACACCCGCCCGGCTGCGCTCGCCCGCTCGCTGCAGCGGTGCCGCCTGCGCGGCTAAAACCCAGCGCTGGGGCTGGCGAGCGCGCCTTCTCCGGGCGGCCTTGTTCCGGTGTTGGCAGCCCCCAGGCAGGCGGGCGTGTCTTGCTTTGCGCTGCGCAGCCGTCGTGCTGCCCCATGGCGCCCGAAGCGGCATGCGGAGCTGCCGGGCCCGGCCACGGGGTACTGGGCTTCGGCGTGGAACTGGCAGAGCCTGTGAGCAAACGCCCAACTCGCCCCGAGCTCGGAGTCGCGTGGGCAAACGGCCAGGCTCGAACATTTCGTCAGGTGTTCCATCCCCCTCAGTGTTTACTGCTTCGAGCACAGCGCTTCAGAAGCCCGCCAACACTGAGGCGCCATGCGGTTGTTTCACAGAATCTCAGAATGGGTCAGATTGGAAAGGACCACAGTGGGGTCACCTGCTCCAACCTCCCTGCTCAAGCAGGGCCATTCCAGAGCACATGGCACAGGATCGCCTCCAGGCGGTTCTTTAATATCTCCAGTGAGGGAGACTCCACAATTTCTCTGGGCAATCTGTTCCAGCGCATAGTCACCTGCACAGTAAAATTCTGCCTCTCATTCCAGCAGAGCTTCCTGTGCATCACCTTCTGGCTGTTGCCTCTTGCCCTGTTGCTGGGCACCACCAAGAAGAGTCTGGCTCCATTGTCACCCCCGCTTTAGATACTGGCAGACATTGATGAGGTCCCCTCTCAGGCATCTCTTCTGGAGGCTGAACAGGCCCAGCTCCCTCAGCCTTTCCTTGTGAGATTCTCCCCTTAATCATCTTTGTTACCCACACTGGACTTGCTCCAGGTGTTCCATGTCACTCTTGTGCTGAGAAATACATCAACTTTGTTTTTAAATAACACAGATTCTTAGGACTTGAGTTAGGGGGAGAAAATCACTCAAATAGATTATATAGTCAGAAAACAATAGAAGTTAATGTTTGGGCTTTGAATAGGGTGATAGTTTCAACACCAAAGCTTCAGGACCATCCACTGCGTGACAATGTGAACATGTAGAAGTTAGCTTAAAAAAGCCTATGTTGTACAAAGACTGAATCTAAGTGGCAGGTGTTACGAAAATCCTGAATTACTAAACTTAATAAGATGGTACTCTAATGCCAATAATGCCGTCAGCAGAATTGCACATGGTTGGGAAATGACCGTGTCCTACATGCAGTCTCTTTGTGTTTGCCTCAGGTGGTCTCTGAGGGATGAAATACCTTGCTCAAATTCATTTCACCATGGCTTAGTGCTTTCTGGTGTTCACATTTCATACATCCTAGTTTGAGATCCATGTAAAATAAATAAGGCGCTTTATGTCACAACTTGCTAGAAGTGCAGTGCTGTGAATGTAAAAGAGTAGTTGGAAAGGTGTATTTTACTAATTGGCATTGGCTCACTATATGACTTCAGCCCACGTAACTCACTTTATCTCTGTTTCTCCATCCAGAGGTAGAGGTAATGCATTTCAGTTCAAATAAAGACAGAGAATGTTGGATTTTTGCTAAAATCACTCCACAGATGAAGAAAGAACAACAGGGAAGCTGGGAAACTGTTCACTTTCATTTGCTTATCATCTTTTTAGGTTGCACATACATGCTTAAGTACAAAAAGTCAGCAAATGGCTAACTAAAGCTAATCAAAGCAGAAAATACAGATTTCTTAGGCAGCTTCTCCCGTGGCTCAGTATTGTCCTTCTGGTCTTTGGGACAGAAAGGACCCAAGAAAAGGGAGTTAACTGCACAATATTTGTCATTATCAGTGTTCTGCAAGGCTGGTATTACATAAAACATTCAGCTCTGGTGAAATTTAACCATTTACCCTTTTATTTCAAACCCTCTTCATTGTGTAACAGAGTCTTTTAAGTTTTATAGCAAGACGAAGAAGAAGACATGCTGAAAAGCAGTAGTAAGGGAAATCTGGAAAAATGACATATGAATTATCTTACTGCTAACTCTAATTTTTAGAATTTTAGTATTTAGTCAGTTATTTGCAGTGATGAGAACTCTCCTCAGACCAGATTTTTTGTGACATGAATAAAAATCTACTTGAAATGAATACTAATTAAAGGCATTCTTCATTAAAGTACTTTGAAAAAAGCACTTGAGCTTCAGAAATGACATTTTGAAGCAGCTGTGGATTATGTTAAAAAACAGATTGCATTCAGTTTACAATACTGCTAAAAAGAGGTAGTATAAACATTGTCTTGCAAAGTGGATCAATTTAACCATCTTTTAAAAATACTTGAAAAATAAGAGAATTTTAATATATAGGCATATTTAAAGAAATCCTGTGTCAAGTGTTTATTAAAACTGTAGGTTATTAAAGTGGAAAAAAACCTCTAAAATCATATCAACAGCTTCAGGATGAAAAATTAGTTATTTTCACATTCCAACAACATTTGAATTAGTAATACTGTAAGGAAATGTTTAAACTTTATTTTAAAATTATATCTTGTTTAGAAAGAAAGATAAATGCTTGTTCTTCTTGACTTTTATAGTTATCTACCTCAATGCCATGTCTGAATTTTAGAACTAATTCAACTTTTGGTGATCCATTTCTTTATTTCACGGATTTCTTGTTCATTCTAGACACTTCAAGACAGTAATAGAAAGATGAGGTACCAGGTGTCTGAAAGTAAAAAGGGAATTGTGGTGCCCAAAATATTTTTTCTCCCAGAATTACCAGTATACTTAGAGATGCCTGGCAATTTTCCAGTGGGAAAAAGGACCTTGTGTGACTACATTTATGTAAAGTCCATAAAATTTTTCCTTTTTTTTTTTTCTTTTTTGTTTTTCCTCAGAGGAGTGTGTGTACTTATCTCCCCAACAGATGTAATTTACATGGCTACTCTGGAGAAATTGTGGCTGCATATCTAACGATACATTTGAGCAATCTTCCAAAAGTTTTTGAAAGATTGAAATATATAAACACATAATCCAGCTAAATAGGTGAGCAAATAATAAAAATTTTTTATTGGGCTGTATTTTAGACTTTGCTAATATACTCAGCTAGCAACAGGAATTAAGCTGTCTTTTTTTCAGCTAGGGAACTGGAAAAAATTACCTTGAAAATGAACCTTTTTTTTAGTGAAGCAATATGAAAAATGTCCCTTTGGACCCCTTCTTTTTACACTGCTTGCATCTTTGTGCTTGGCTGAGGGATAGATTTGTTATCTCTAGCAAACCATGGTGAAAAAGAGTTTGGCAGTGCTGTAGTAACTGAGACTGAGCTCTGAAGAGTATGTCTAGTCTGTTACATTCCTAAAACACAGCAAATTAAGCCCTTAAGTGACAGAAATAAAAAGAAACAGAAAAGAGTTTCAGTCCAGTATGTCTGAGAAACTATCCTTTTATAACTCCAAGGACTTATTAACAGTTCTGAGCTATTGGTTTTACAAAGTTAGAACCCAAAGATAGTAAATATTGATATGTTTTTAAAGTAACTTCTTTATCCCCTGCTTTCTGTTCAAATGCATATCTTTGGAAATAGATATATTGCTAATCTTTTGAAGTAAGAAGTTGTTTTTTCCCTCAAACCATTCATGTATATCCCTCCAAAATTGCTTTTGCTTTTCACTTCCAGGCTCTTGAGTCAAGAGCCACCTTTGACATGGCATCTAATGAGAATGCTACTAACTGCCCTCGTATTGGGCTTGAGGTACAATGTTCGTGGTCAGCTCATGTCCTTGGTAGCTCCCCTGTGTAGGTGTTCATACTGACAGATGTTTCCTTGCCTGCCCTAACACTGTGAACTCTGTTACACAAGGACCAGTAGGGTGGTGTGAGGAAAGATACCTCAGTGAAAATACGTGATCTGTTTTGTGAAACTGCTGAGTGATTACACTGCGTGGCAGACTAGGTGAATCCAGTGAGTAGCTGGATACCTCAACCTTTATTTTCCTGTCTGTTTTTATTATAGAGCTGTACAGGGCAGATTAAAGTAACTTGATTTTCCACCAGTTTGAAATGAGTCATTGGAGGAAAATGGGCAGCTGCTGTATTTTGCAATGAACCATCTGGCATTTCTTGGTAGATCCTCTGATTCCTAATTTACTACTGAATTGTGACAGCATGAAAATCAAAATTACTGATTGTATGGAATCAGTGTTTCCCTCTGCCAATTCTGTTTCTGTCAAAGGATAGTCATAGAAGACATAAGGATCTCTCACACTGGGTTTTGCAATCATAGAAAGTAATCTGTATAATTTGCTTTTTTTTTGTAATTACACTGCTTGAAATTTATTCTGGAAGACTGACTTTCCAGATGATCACATCTGATCTGAACCTTACTGAAAGTGGCACTAATCGGTTTTAAGGTTCCACAAGGGAACTCCTGTGTATAGTTTGTATTCTGTTTTACTCCCTTTCATTCATGTATCTTTAGAAGTTTAAGAATAAACTAGCTAGCTAACTGGAATTAGAAATTTAAAAAATACACAAGCAATAGAGTATTAACTAGTGAAGCAGAGGACTACACATTCAGTCTCAATTTATCTTTAAAATTCTCTAAATAAAACATATGTTTGCTTTCACATAGATAATACATACCATGTACCTACCACTAAGTCTGCCTTCAGAATCAACACCTAGTGGCTGGATGAAAAAGATGGGAGTTAGGACAAAAGCATCTGCACACCAGCAAGTGCATGACACCTCCATCTTGCTGCCAAAGTAAGATTATAAAATGTGATTTCTAGATGAGAAAGTTAAAAAAGAAAGGAAAAGAGGAAATTAAAGTTGGGTAAATCAGAGCTAGATAGGTAGGGGTGCAGTAAGGTATAGATAGAATGCAGTAAACCACTAGATAATCAGGGAAAACAGTGCCAGACAGAACTCAGACAAAAAAAAACCCCAAATGGCTTCAGAAAACCACTCTTAAAAACCAGAAAGAAGTGGTGAAGACTGAACACAGTAATAGAAAACTTTCCTGTGG